TTACAGGAAAAAAATTTTGTTATTATTATTTTTCAAAAAAGTAAATTACAAAAAGAAGTTCGCGATCATTTTTTATAAAATGTTATTGTATATTACATATATATGTATATATACATTATAATTAAATTTTATAAACCTATATATATTTATATAATAATTATATTGTAACATTACAAATTTATAACATATGTCCAATAATATATCATATATTTTACGATAAGAATAGCAAAGTTTTTGTAATTTAATAAAATAAAATAAGTTTACTAATTTATTTAATTCTTATCTCGTGCACGAGAGAAAAGCATATTACATTCTAACTTACATTTATACACTTAGACTAAAAAAATCTTTAAATTATATATATAATAAAATGTAAGATAATTGGATCATAAATATTACAAACATTGACATACATAGTTTATGTTTTAAATGTTACTGAATATTCAAAATGTTCTGTATATTGAAAAGACGAACAGACGTGGCATTCAAATTCGATCGAGAAACAGTATGAGCTCTTCCAAAAAGTATCCTACTGCATATTTATATCAAGTCCGTTAAGAACCGGACAGTCTTAAACATGCGCGTGTATAAGTATAAGCAACCTGGTCGGTTGCAGTCCGAGAGGAGACGATAATGACCTTCCACGGAGGAGCTCGCTGACGGAGTAGGAGGGCCTTTGACACACTTGACGCTCAGGTGAATTGTAACCGAGAACGGAGAGGTTCGTGGTTAGTGCAAAGCGAGAGATTGAACGTATCGCGTCTCGACGAACGAGATAAGAAGAAAGAAAAAGGGTGAAGAAGACAAAACGATTCAAAAGTGTATAGAGAATTTAAATCATATGTGATGATAGCGATGCGAGCAATGGTGGTCAGCATGACAACTGACGTCTGCGATGCAACGTGACCGCAGCGACAGAGCTTACGTCGCACCGAATCGTGAAGAAGAGGACCATCGATGTCGCTAAGAGGTGGAGAAGGTCGCGATAAAGTTTTCGGCCACGAAGAAGAGAGGGAGAATCGATATTGAACGACGATTCTAATAAGTAGGAAGGGTGTGTAACGATTACGGGTAGATACCAAAGAATCCGACGTGCACGTGGACTAACGATGGTGACCCTTTCGCGAAATCAAAAGTGTACCGGTTCATGTTACTAAACAAGTAGTTGGTGCCGGTCATATATATTCAGAGCGTGCACTCCCGGCACGCTACCTCACACTTCTGGTCATACATAAACAAAAGTCAAATAAAATATATGCATATACATTAAATGTAGTTAAATCTCCGCAAGTGATATTGAAGATGTATCGACGAACGACATTAATCCTGTTGTGCCTTTCGATAACACTGTCGTATTCGGAGTTATTTAGTACTGAAAAATTCAGGTTTTACGCGAAGTTCTTAAAATTTAACACGTTAAATATCAATGAGACCGGAAATGAGCTTTGGCACGGACTTTTTAGGGATTGTAAAAAGAAAGTGACGTTTTCTTGCATACAAAAAAATGCGTACACATATCTTGATAATGTATTTATCGAAAGGGACAATATTACTATTTTCGATGGTCTTATACTTACGAAAAACAATATCACTTATAATACGTGTCTTAAGAGAGAAAATCGTGATGATGTTCATGAGAATATCGTGGATATCGATATGAATGATTGTAAAAATAAAGATGAAGCAGAGATAGAAGATCGAAAGTTTAATGATGAATCGCCACTTGAAGAGATTACGAATGCTCTGCGGCGGAAAACGATGAAATTTTTATCAACTCGTAATTATGAAATTCAACTTCCGCAATTTTTCTTTGAGAGTGTCACAATGAAGATAAGCCCGCGCGAGATAGACGAGAATGGCGCACTGCTCAGGGTAGATTTTGGAACTGAAGGTGTACAAGAACAAGGACGAATTTTTAAAAAAATTAGTAAGAAAAATCAAATTCTTTAATTTATTATATAATATTTAGGATGGAGATTATAATGTCTTATTTTATTTTTAGAGAAATTTATACAAAATAAATTGTTGATCAGCTTTCTGGCGCTCCTTTTAATTATCAAGTTAATTAAAGTGAAGTTTCTATTCATAATACCATTTCTCTTCGGTGTGGGAACTGCCAAGAAACTTTTCCTAAAATTGCTGCTCTTCTTTATTCCCGCATTTGCTCACATATTTAAGCTTTGCTCTAGCTACTATTCAAGCCAAGCCACCAAATTCCATCATCATCATCATCAGGTATGCGTGCGAATTATTTTCATTTTAATTATAAAATACCTGTATAAAATATTTTTATCAGTATTAATTGGTGTTAAAACAATCTAAATCTTTATTTCAGATTGCTCATCATCATCATCACGTGCCGGTTCCAGTACCCGTCCCAACGTACTACGATCACTCTCATGACACTTTAGACGGTTTCACCGATTACGCTCATCCTCACATTCAATTTAGGAAGGATTTGGAAGAATTAAAGGAATGGGGTATCGAGCCTCAGAACGAACCCTATGAAGAATCCAGTCAAACCCTAACTCGCGTAGTACCAGCTCCGACCTCAGTTTCGGGAGTTACGTACTCAGGTCCATACGGATTGACTCAATATGCGTCGAACATAAAACCGATCGCATCTTCTTTGTACTTAGACAATTCAATGACGGCTAGTGCCCATAACCTGGTCTATTCCGGATACCGACGACCCGCAGCGCAGCCAAATTCCGCCGCTATACTTTCAAATCCAGGTTTCGTGTCTGGTGCAAAAACACCGATAAAGAACTCTTACGCGATATTTGCGCCAAATATACGCCCGATTCACCCAAATCAGGCCCAGAGGTTTTTGACTCCTGCCCCATCTTCTCCCATGTCGATCTCGCGAAAGGAAATAGAAGATGAGTATTACGGGCCGATAATCGATCGACTGGAGAAAATCTTTGGACAATTGAGATTCTATGAGGAGACGTGCAGAGAGATGCTTGTTTGCAGCATGTACAAAAATCCGGTGGGCTACTCACCGCACAGTAACCTCGTGTCGAATGAACTTTCCAGGTATAAAACAAATAGCAACTACGTGGCTTATCGATTAAATCGCACTACAATCGTATTACAAAGAGAAAGGTGGAGATCGCCCGCGCGTTCCGAATCAACGTTAATCGGGTCATCTTGGTTTCTCTCTCTTTCTCGATCTCTTTCTTTTCTCTGTTTCTTTCTTTTCTTTATATCATTCTTTTTGCCATTTTTTAATGACATAGATGTCATTTCGCGCATCATAGTCTTATCTAACGTGAATATTGACACTTGTTTAGAATATTATTAATAATTGGCATGAAATATGAAATGAAAATACTTTTAGTCGAGTCGACTATGCGACAAACCGGAAGAAGATACAGTACAGTTCCGTTTCGTTCGGATAATCCGCTCATAATTATGCCGTTTGAAAAGTAACTTTCTATTTAAGAGCAACAAAATTACGTTTCAGAGCAATGCGTGTATATTGAATTATCCGTTAACGAGTAAGGAAAACAACATAAATCAGGTCGATGTGGCTCAAAACAAGCACATTAATCAAGATGTATAATCTCTCTCACAATACTTTTTAGAAATATTATTTATTATATTATATATTTTTAGAAATATTATTATGCCTTTTAAAGATTAATTTTAAAAATTACATATATTTTCAGAGATCCGCAAGAACTCAGGCGTGATGTAACAGGAAGTACGTCCAGTCAGAAGTTCTATAGATATATGAATGCAGCCAGATATGGTCAAAATGGTGGAGATTGCCTCAAAACGTATCCGTGTCATAGTAATATCGAATAAATACTTCCTAATATGGAATTTATCTCACCTAATCTGCAATTAAAACGTAACGGATGTTTGTACGAATACTACAGAACATATACATTTGCTCAATGAGGCCGAAGAAATTATATTAGAAGCTCAGCGTCGTAACGTTGCGCAATATCATTATAAGGAAGATCGATATACTGCCATGCATTAATTTATGAATATATTTTGTATGAAACGTGCATATGAACATTAATTTAATCTTATTAGGAAAAAATTGAGGTGTCCTGCAGACAGGTCCAACTGTATTAATCCTAGCAATTAATTTAGTTAATAAGATGCTGATCAACATGTTGAACGTTATACTTTGTTATAATTTATGTCAATTTTTCGAATTTAATGATCGAATTTAGTAAGGAGTGAAATCAGTGAATTTTGTGATGACATGTCAAAGTTTTTAGTTTATTGACGCGTTGTCAGCAAGATCACTGTCTCCAAGAATAATATTATTATTAAATACGATTAGATAATAAGATTCATATTATGTTGGATTATGTGGCATTTTAAGAGTTAAGCGAGCTTTATAATTTTTCATGTGATTTCGAAATTCATATTATTTTAAGAAATAAGAGGAGAAATTGTAGAGGAAAAAGTGATAATGTGGGCGCCATTTTTTTAGTTATATTCAAGTTAATAATATTGTAAACAATATAATTTATTGATTTAATATGAAATACATTTGAAAGGATTAAGATAGTTTCAAAATGAAAAAAATTGTTTAAATGAAAAAGACATTCTAACGACATTAGGTTTGTTTTTTATTGCTGAATCGGTGCAATAAATTAAAGTGAAACAAACGTATTAGGTGTAGTAAAAAGAAATCCATTATTTTTGCATGAAATTGAATGGAAAAATATTGGTTTTATTTTTACTACACCTAATATATTTGTTTCACTTTCATTTGCTTCAACTTATTGTACTATGTATATTAGTTCAGAAAGTGCAGCAATAAAAAACAGATCTATTATCTGAATGCGATATGAGAGAAGTGGATACCCTCTCTTATATTTTTACAGAATCTGATTTTTTTTTCTATATTATTTACACTTCTCATGAAGTCCAAATTGAAATTGAATTTATAGAAAATTATGAATATATTTATGAGATATTATCAAATTCAAAAGTTTTTTTCATGAGTAAGTTCTTTTAGAAACAGTTTTACATTGATTTTGCTCTCGTGAATATGTTTTATACTTCTTTCATAAATACCTTTAGAGATTTTTTAAAATTATTAAAATGATAATCATAAAGATTTTTAGCGAAAATAATGCTTTTCAATGTTTTTTTTTAAATCCTAGGACCTACATTACCTACTTGTTAAGAGGCTCAATATAGAAATATTGATAAAAAATTTACATTTAATTATATTTCAGCAAAAAAATTATTCAAGTTTTCTTACATATTCAAAACAGCAGAATTTTTTAAAGATTAATAAATTAAAAATTCATTATTGACAAATCTTAAATCATGATAAATTTGACATTGAAAATCAAAGAAACTTTGATTTACGACATAATAAATAAACATTGTCAACAAAAAGATCGCGCTAGTCATAGCGATAATTATTTCATAATTTTTCGACATCTATCTAAGAACACGTTAAAAATCTTTTACAGGAGATAATGTTAGGGGGCCCCCATATTGCAATCTTTTCCCCTACTAATTTAATAGATTCATATCCGGAAAATACACATGAATTCTATTTATTCGTTTTTTCTAAAATTGTATGATAATTATGTGAGCAATCAATTTTTATTCGTTTTAATAATAAAGTAGGATAATTTTCGCTTAAAGTTAGGATAGCTTTGATAATTTTCGCTTAAAATTAGGATAACTTCGATAATTGTGATGATGCCTGCACAGAACGCATGTCAAAATTGCAACATATGTAAGACATTTTAAGACATTTTATGTCCTGATTTTGGATATGCGTGCTATCTAGGCATTTTTTTTTTAATTTCGACCAAAATTCCATTTTAGTATTTTATAATATTTTATTTTATTTTATAAAACACTATAAAATACTAAAATGGAATAATTTTGGTCGAAATTAAAAAAAATTACCTAGATAGCACGCATATCCAAAATCAGGATACATAAGATCCATTATAATATTTTATAAATAAAAAAAAAGAAACTTTCTTTACAAATGTAATACATGTATAGTTTAAAATGTTTATTTATAAAACAAATTAATTAGATCATTTCAGGAAGACTTTGTGTCTTTTGCATTAAAATATTAAAAATTATAAAATATTAAAAATATTAAAAAATGCTGTTTTAATATATTAAAAACATATTACAATTTTGCATGATACGTGTGATGTTGTATAAAAATTAATTAAGAGTGTATTTATTATTATGTAAGAACTATTTGTAGATAATTAATCAGTTACTGTAACATATTCGGGTGCCATACCCAATAAATATTACTTTTTATTAATTTAAACTTTATGTTAGACCTTCAAAGCATACAAATATCGAAAAATGTAAAAAAATAAATACTTTTAATTAATTATATGG